AAAGATAGAGGATATCCGCACCATTCTTCTCCCTCTCCTTCGTTTGTATGCCGCTTACGTGGACTTGCTTTAAATGAATAATGTATTACATACTGCGTAATAAGAAAGCAGATGACATGATTATTAACACATAACAAATGTGGCTGCATAAGTATGTTCATGCGCCTATTACTGCAGAACGAAGAATAGGCATAAGAATAGTTAACTTAGCTTTTTTTACTTTTCTTGGATATTACTCGTTATGTCGAACATTTGAACGGACTAAACTAGGAACATGCAAAAGCTCCAGCGCTATAGAAGGGTTGTCAAATAAACATGTAGTACAATACGGAGAAGATCACCAATGAGTACTGCTACCTGTACGGCTGAGGGGGAACGGAAGACTCATCGTCTCCCCGCCCCCTCTCGGATCTGCCAATGCCTAATCTTGCACGAACACGTGAAAGTTATTTTGAGAGGAAAACGATTTCGAGAACCAGATAGACTAGAAAGCTCACATTGCAGAATAAAATTTTTGATGTGTGTGTTGAGCTATTTTACAGTAATTGACAAAATTTATTCATTTCATTCCAGTTAATGCTTTTGTCATTTACGTTAGACTGGTTGGAACTGTTGTTTTGCTTTGTATAGCTCAGGCATCAGAATTCGCTTTTCCTGGCAGAAATCATCTCTACATACTTGGTCCCTTGCGCAATCTCTGTCAAATTCGCCTGAAATCAAAATATGTGGGGAAAATTAACTTAACAACTTTGCGAATAAAATTCTGATCAAGCATGACAAATTAAAATTCCATGTCGACATTTTCACTAATCAGCGACAATGCCGGAATGACCAGTTTGCTATAACTTTTTTCATGTTTATTTTTGTAAAATTTCCGCTTCCTAGTTTTCACAAATTTGAAGCCGATTGTCCAGATACAAAAACACTCTTATGCGTCACTAGGCCCATGCTTTTAAGCAAAAATACATGCATAAGGGACTTCGGGCCTAGACGATTTTCTCGTGGCTTTAAAAATTTTAAAAATTATCAAAATCTTATGCAGTGATAAGTAGCGGCATGTTTTGCGTGAGACGTCACATTGCTTCTTGCAGGTGCAAGTGTAGTACCTATCAAGACAGTAACGGGTATGCTTGCAAGTACAGTTAACCGTACTTTGGTTTTCTGTTTTGTCTTTTTTGAACAAATGAGCACTTTTCTATGAGTTAAAGTGAATTCTGTTTTTCGATTTCACCTCGTGTTTTTCACCTGTCGATTGCTGAGGCATCTGGACGTTTCGGGTACCACTCAGCATCGTTGATGCGCTTCCACTTTCAAATTTTAAAGAAACTAAGAAGGTTGGATAGATGTACTTCTCTGAAACTAACAGTATGGCGAT